AGCATGTGAAAATACCACATTTAATAACATATTTTTACTCCAAACTCACTTCATAACGTCAGTCAAGTGTTTGAAATAAATCCCTCTGTGAGATGATGTGGCTTCTTACACAGAATAAGTTGAATCAATGAAAGCAGTTGAATCTTCTGTTTATTCAGCTGCTGCGATAGGCATTTTCTGGGTTTCTTCTGCAAGGCGTATTTGGAGTTTCAGTGCGAGAGCGCCCTCTGGCCTTTGGATGGAGATTTACTGCTGATCACAGAACCGTGCTTCACTGAAAGATACGCATGACAATCGCAGCTTCTGTCGAATCGCGATCTTGATTCCATTTCGATTTATCGTGCAGCCCTAACTGTATATATAACAAAAATGTACTCTGAAAGAAGTGTTAAAGCCATATTTTTCATTGTATGGGCCTAAAGCACTGAGACATTTTTCAAAATATCATCTTCTGTGTTCCACAGAAAAACTAAGGTTTGGAATGACATGCGGGTGAGAAAATTATGACAGGAATTAAATTTTTATCTGTACGATCCCTTAAATATCTCATGTAGTGTTGCTTCTCAAGAAATGTAAATTATTTCAAAGGTTTATCAATATTTTAGCTGGAAAATTAGACAAAAGAAGATTATTACGAACATGAATTTTTTCAAGTGTGGAAGGTCATGTGTACATCGATTGTTTCAAAAGTTGTTACCTGTAATATGATAGGTGACTTGTCGGTTTCCAGGTGAGCTGTCGTTGTCCCGTGTATTCAATACTGCCACCACTTCACCAGGTGCATCACTCTCACGAACACTTCCGTAGTAACGGGGCTGAAGAAACTGCGGTATGTTGTCATTGGAGTCGCTCACTGCTATAGTTATAGTTGTTGAGGATGACTGGCTGGCAGGATCTCCAAGGTCAAATGCCCAGACTGTAAGACTATGGGCAGGGCTCTGTTCATGGTCCAGCCCTTTCAGTGTTGATATCCAACCAGAGCTGCTGTCAATTGTAAAGTAGGCTCCGTGTTCTTCAATGTTCTCACCGCCAGAGCCACCAAGCAACCCAGGTGGAGCAAGACTGTAAGTCACCTGACCATTAGCTGCCCAATCAGGATCCAAAGCTAGTACTTGCAGAATCCTAGTCCCAGGAGAAAGACCCTCAGTGACTGATGCCTCGTAGTTATCCGACTCAAATGCTGGTTTGTTGTCATTGACATCTTTTACTTTGACCTCCACATCCACAGCCGAAACTGCATCCAAACGTCCCTGCTGCAACATTGCCATCACTTTGAAATGATAGGCCGGTGTCCACTCTCGGTCCAGTGCTTTGTCTAGTTTGATCATACCAGTTTCTTTGTCAACCACAAACACTCCATCACTGTTACTCTCTGGAGTCTGTCCGATCACCGCTGAGAAGCTTACTGGTAAGGACGAGTGGCTAGTTGAGGTGTGTAGATGCACTGCTCCCAACAAGGAACCAATGGGCATGTCCTCTGGCACGGTAAACGAGAACTGTGGCTGGCTGAAGGAAGGTATGTGGGCATTGGCAGACAAAACATGTATGTAGACTGACACAAGGGAATGCCTAACAGGTACCCCGCCATCAGAGGCTTTAACGAAAAAGGACAGAACAGACCCACGCAAAGGGGAGAAATTGCCTTTGGTGACAACCCAGCCACTGTCCGGGTCAATGTCCAGAAGTTCAGTAACTTGCATGCTGGCTTCGCTGTACAGACTGTAGCTCACCTGTCCATTGGCACCTTGATCTAGATCCCAGGCTTGTACTTGCGTCACAAGGGTACCAGGTTCAACCTCGGACCGCACACTTGCATGGTACTCCGAGGCGCCAAACTGTGGAGCATTGTCGTTCTCGTCTAGTATGGTAACCCGGACACTGCAATATCCAGATCGGCCACCAGCATCCACAGCCGCAATGGACAGTACCATCTCACTTCGTTCTTCCCGGTCTAGACGTTCAAGAGTCTTAATTTGTCCATTGCCATCAATACTGAACAAGTCCCGAGCGGAATCTGAGAGCAGCACATACCTCACATCCCCAAACGGTCCAGGATCAGCATCTTGTGCCCTGATTGCAATGACCTTTGATCCCACTGGTGCGTTCTCCCGTAAATCGGCCTCGTACATGCCCTGGGTGAACTGGGGGGCATGTAGATTAGCTCGCTCTACCCGAATGTGCACTTGTGCCGTACTGGTAAACACTCCATCGGAAACGCTTACATTTAGGGTGATGGTGGAAGGCATGCGCTGCATGCGTCGCTGGCCACTCAGGGTCAGGACACCGGAAGCGGCATCAAGCTCAAACAGCATCCTTTCATTTCCAGACACCAGGCCATACTTCAAGCGTTCTGCATCTGAACGGTCTGCATCAGAGGCCTGGATGCATGTAACAAAGTGGCCTTTTGGTGCCAACTCATTGATAGAGGCTTCATAGAGCAGTTGGTTAAATACTGGAGCATTGTCATTTGTGTCCGTGACATCGACTGTGACCCACACTTCGCTGCTCAGTGGGGGAAAGCCCTTATCTGCTGCCTTGACAAGAAACACATAGCGCTGGATGGTCTCATGGTCCAAGGAGCGAGCTGTCAGAATTAGACCACTGCTGCTGTCGATGTGGAAGTGGTCGGTGCTGTTGGTGCGGTCTGGAATGATTTGGTACCGGACAGCTGCGTTTTTCTCAGAGTCGCTGTCCGTTGCGAGAACTTGCAAAGCTGCAGTGCCAATCATGGCAGATTCAGAAATTACAGTTTTGTATGAGGGCTGCTTGAAGACTGGAGGGTTGTCGTTGACATCCAAAACAGTAACTTCAACATCCACTTCTGCACGAGCGCCTGTGAGGCAGTCCGTTGCTCTGACGATGAGTCTGTGGGAAGGGCTAGTCTCATAGTCGAGGGCAGCGATGACACTGATGACACCTGTGTCAAATCCAATGGAGAAGAGTGTTCCTGGGTCACCGTGCGTGATTGTGTAAAGGACACTCTGGCCTTCAGGGCTGCTGGCGTTTATTCCCAGAATTGGAGTCCATATTGGTACGTCTTCGCTCACTTTCACTGAGTAGAATGGTCGGTCGAACACTGGCATTGCTCTGTTTACCACTGTGACGGGAAAGGTGACTGAAGAGGAAAGAGGTGGTGTTCCCATGTCACAGGCGAACACCAGAACCTGATATTCCACACTAGAGAGATCAGCCTCGAAAGCTCTCCGTAAGCGAAGCTCGCCACTCAAACGGTCCATTTCAAAATGTCCCAGTTCATCCTGCAGAAAGTAGTTCACCTCTCCATTTTGCCCTTTGTCCCGGTCCACTGCTGTCACTCGAAATATCGCTGTCCCAGGCTCCGCTTCCACTTGCACAGCAGCATAGTATGGCAATCCAACAAAAACTGGAGAATTGTCATTGACATCGCTGACTTGAACTCGGACCAATGCTCTTGCAACACGGAGCCGATTTTCCTCACGGCCTGCTTGTACCAAAAGTCCATATTCCTCCTCCTCCTCCCTGTCCAAAGGGACTCCAACAGTTTCAATGGCACCAGACGTTGGCCTAATACGAAATTTCCCACCTGCATTTAACAAAGTATAACGCAGGGGTTCATTCAACTTGTTCCCTAGTGCTGTAACGACAGCAACTGTTGTTATGTTACCATTGTTTTCCTCAATGTTGGCATTGTAGGTATTATGAGTAAAAGCCAGGCCACTGTCCAGAGCCTCATGAACCAGGACAGTAACCAGAGCGGTAATGGAGAAGCGTCCGTCTGAAACACGGACGTTAAATCGAAATCGTTCTTTGCTAAAAGTACTGTTTCTTACAGTCAACAGTCCAGTGCTTGGCTCAATGCTGAAATGTTCTATGCTGCCATCGGTCAATGAGTAGGTGAGCTCTGACTGGTCATTACCATCGGGATCGGTAGCAAAAACTTGTAGGGCTTCCACACCTTCATAAGTTGGGAGCAAAAGGACAGCTTCATAGGATGCCTGAGAAAACTTAGGCGGGCAGTCGTTGACATCTTGCACCCCAATGGTGACTTCTGCAGGATGCTCAGCTGAGAGCTGTGGATGTCCACTGTCTCGGACGTTAACATGGAAACGGAATGTAGGTGTGGTTTCATGGTCAAGCTGACCAATTGTTCTTATTGAGCCAGTACCGGCATCTACTGCAAAGAAGCGCCTGGCAGATTCTTCCATTATCTGGTACACCAACAGGGCATTATGGTTGCGGTCAGCGTCACTTGCTCGTATGACTAGCGGTTGTCCATTGTCACTTTGCACAACACTGTTAAGCCCGGCACCTTCACTGATACTTCCATGGTACCGTAGCTGTTTGAACACCGGTGTATTGTCATTTTGGTCGAGAACTGTAACAGTTATTGTAGCATTTGAGGCCTGTCCAGCCATGTTGCTTGCGGTGACTATTAGCACGTAGGAGGAAACAGTTTCAAAGTCTAGTGTTTTCTGCGTAGTGATCACTCCACTATACTGGTTGATGCGGAATGTCCGATGACCATTGCCGTGGCGAATGTCATAGGTAAGGGTGGACAGACTTAGAGCGTTCACTGTGATTACTGAAGTTCCAATGGCAACACCTTCTGATATATCTGCCTGATATTCACTTTGGGGAAACTTGGGACCAGCATTATCTGACAAGGTGACTGCAATTCGGACGACAGCTGTTGAAGACAATGCTGGAGAACCGTTATCCGTTGCTTTAACAGACAAGACGTAGTGACCGATGTTGGACAGGTCCAGCTCCCGAGCCAATGAGATGATGCCCAAAACAGGATCAATCTGGAAAGTGTTTCCTTTGTTTCCTAAATTGAAAAAGAAAAAAATGAGTGTAAGAAAAGAAAAAAGACCTTACAAATATACTGTATCAGCACACACATTATTGTATAAAAGGAAATACATGTCATAATGCATTAAATTGTATGCATGTTTGCAATTATGTAAAGAAAATAGTAAAAAATGTGTACACATCTACATTTTTACAATTTTCCTGATTTTAGAATAATAATATTAAATAATTTAAATTATGAAATAAAAAATATGTTGTGACAAAACATTTACCAAAAATGGCCAAGGCCCGCCGAAGAGGCCATATGACTGACAGGTAAAGCAACAAATCACGTTTCGTTTTGTGCCACGTCATGTTTATGGGCGTGGAAATGTTTCCACAATAACAGACTGGTGTGTAAAACTCTTGAACGTATTTTAAAGATTCTATGCCGCAAACTTTAAATTTTTCACACACTTTTGAAAATCCAGCATTTAGTTGATCGTGATAAGTGCTCATCATCACAGTTGTAAACACGACAGTTTTCTTCTTCCATGAGGGGGTTTGGCATCACAGTATTTTTGTTTCCAGGTGGAACGTTAAAGAATGCCAACTCACACGTCTCCTAGAAATTCTGTATAATTTAACAAATCCGATGACGACTTCTAAACTCCTGAATTGTTTCCAGCTAAGTGTGCCATATGCATCAGACATTCAGCCAAACAAAACTAAACTAATAAAATAAAATAAAATAAAATATGCTATGCTAGCTCATATGCTAACACAAATCCAAAATCAATTTTTCCAAAAGTTTTAAAAGATCATGAGACAAATTCATTGGAGTGTGTACAAACTTTGACAGGTAGTGTATGCGAGCGTGTGCATACCTGAGTCGATGCTGTAACTGATTTGTGCATTTTGGCCCTTGTCCTTATCGAGTGCAGTCACTGTGAGAACAGCTGATCCCAGTGCCGCTGATTCATACACCTGTCCATCATACATCACCATGGTGAAAAGAGGGGCGTGGTCATTCACATCCTCTACACCGATCAGGACACGAGCAAGGCTACGTCTGTACGGGAACTCTTGATCCTTTACCTAATATAGAAGCAAAGTAAAGAAGAAAGCAAGAAAGATGGAGACAAAATAAAGAGAGCGGTAGAGGGAAACAAAAATTAATTCCCTGTCTGAGACAGACAGCAATATCCAACACAAGAAAACAGCAACACACACACACAAACTCATACAGACAAAACAAACTCGCTCACTGTCAGACGGAGTGGATAACATCTCTCTCCGGATTATAATAACAGATTTCATCTGGTTGCAGGCAGCAGGAATATCCGTGTGCTTATTAGATATGACACTCACTGTCTCTCACCCTCGTCAGGGGAGAGCGGAAACAATGAGTGATACAGATCAGATCAATAATTAGATCACAGTGGAGAAACGACACAGGTGCAGACGACATTAAACTATTGACGGCTGCCAAAGCACAAGGAGCAATCTCCTGTTCCTGTCATACCTGCACTCAAGCATGGAGAGCGTGAAAGAGAGACAGGAGGGAGGCAAACTATCAACACTAGTCAAACGATAACTCTGCTGTTCTATCTATCTATCCAGTAAGAGACACAATGTGCTCTCAAAAATAAAATAAAATCAAATCAAATTTATTTGGTAAAAAAAAACACATGTAGAGTGTTTACATCTATTTATCTATGAAATGTTCAAGTCTTCATACTTTAAAACAAATTAAAGAAAAAATAAAAGAAAATAATAAAAGAAAAAAAAAATGAAATACAGTTCAAATAATAAAAATAATAAAACTAGAGCTTCCATTTCCTGAAAAATAAGTGTGAGTGGTGGTTGTTTGCTGACCCAAGTCAAAATAATGGTTGGCAAAGCACTGCTATGCATTTCTAAAGAGTTTTAGTGCATTACTATGTGGCTGATGCGGTGTACTGGTTGTGGTATTTTCATAATATCTATTTGTAGCAATCTGAGTTACCATGATTGTGAGGATGTGCTGAGTTCGGCTCTCGTGGTCCAGTCTGCGAGCCGTGTAGATGATTCCATTGTTAGGGTCGATGCGAAAGAGCCGCATGCTGCTGGGGTCAACGCTGCTCTGAAGGCTAAAGGTCAAACGGTGACGCTCGTCACGGTCAGACGCCAACACCTGAACCACCTCAGTATCCGGGGGCGTGTCTTCTGTGATTGTGATGTCATAGGTGGGCTGGGAAAAAACGGGGGCGTTGTCGTTGTTGTCCAGAACAGTAATGTGGACCTGTGAAAACAAATTAAAAAACATACAGGAAGTCAACATGAAATGTAATTTCTCAGTAGAAGTGTTGTTACTTTTAACTAAAACTAAATATATATATATATATATATATATATATATATACTGTATATATACACACACACACACATATATATATTCATTAATTGGAATGAAGTTGGAATAAAATACAAATATTAGATAAAAAACAAAACCTTAAAAAAAATTATTAAATATGCTGCCTGAAACAATATAAGTTTCAGTTGAAATACTAAAATTACTAAAACTAAAGTTAAATAAAAATAAAACTAATTAGAAAAAAAGTAAAAAAAAAAATAATTAAAAAAAATCTAAATTACTATAACTTAAACTTAGCTTAAAATAAAAAAAATAAATATAAAAGCTAATTCAAAATGTTAACATATACTTGGAAGTCAACATGAAATGTAATTTCTCAGTACAGGTGTTGCTACCATTAACTAAAACTATGTTTGTGTTAAAATGTAAAAAAAGTTTGAAAATAAATAGCCTATTAAGTCTAAATATTTAAGTATTTGGCTCTGTGATGAACATCACAGCAAATACACAAATCTGAACGGCTGTTTAAATCATTTAAACACCTTTCAGACACAGAAAGTAGTCAGTCATTACCGTGATATATCGCATTACCGAATACCGGCACAAGTCTAATTGGAATAAAGTTGAAATAAAATAAAATATAAATATTAGATTAAAAAACGAAAACTTAAAAAAAAAAAATAGATATGTTGCCTGGGCAATTCACTGAAATAATAAATAATAATAATAATATAATAATATAAGTTTTTATAGGCTTTTTATAAGTTTACTAAAATGACTAAAACTAAAGTGAAATAAAACTAAAACTAATTAGAAAAAAATACATAAATTACCATAACTTAAACTAAGCTTAAAACAAAAAAAACTAAATATAAAAGCTAATTCAAAATGTTAACATACACTACAACAGTACAGAAGTAATACTAAAATAACACTGCTAAGTATACATTCATGGTCCTATTGTGAATGATTCACCAGTAAACGTTATTACAAAACAAAGCAAAACAAAGCAAAGCAAAGCAAAGCAAAGCAAAACAAAACAAAACAAGCAAAGTAAAGTGAAGCAAAACAAACAAAACAAGCAAAGTAAAGCAAAGCAAAGCAAACCAAAACTAAACAAGCAAAGTAAATAAAAGCAAAACAAAACAAGCAAAGTAAAGCAAAGTAAACCAAACCAAACCAAAACAAAACAAAACAAAACAAAACAAAACAAAACAAAACAAAACAAAATAATCATTCACTTGAAAATGCCACATTGTGCAAGTTCTTTGGGTTGCAAATGTTGTTCCAGGTTTTTTCTGTCAAAATAAATTATTGTAAGTGGAAAATGCAATCTTGAAATGTTTTTTCTCATCTGTACTCAATAAGAAAGCTCATGAAATTCAAGCACTGTATATTATATTAGTAATTTTGATCACATCTAAATAAAGCAGCCTTGTATTGACTGTGTTTGCAAATTTTCTACATTTCAGGAGTTTTATTTACTACAAGTCTAAGTGAAGTTCTCTGATCAATACTGATAAAACTTGATTGAACTTAATGAAAATCACATGACTTGCACGCACCATGAGTGTACGAACAAATCGGAGCTGATTGAACACTGAAACGCAAACAAATCGGCTGACGCAAATACTCAGTTATCACTAACTTGTATTAATAGCCCCACCGGTCCGAGGAGCACGCAGACAGCGTGAGAGCACACAACTGTGAGTGTCTGTGAGCGTGTGAGATCGAAACACGTTAGCTGATCTAATTATAAAGTAATAACAGACGTGCACTTCCGTCTCACACTCGGCCTTGCAGAGACATGCTGAGCGCCATCTGTGTGTGTGTGTATATCGCAGACAGTGAATGAATGTATATTTGAGTATGAAAGTGTGTGAAAGATGGTGCTTTCTAAATAGAGAACTAGTCTTGGAGAAGAATACAATCGCTTTCATCATTTTCTTTCCATTTGTCCCTTCTCTGACCCTCCCTCCAGCACTCTCTGTTCACATGTGTGTGTTTGTACTTTGTATTTTTAAAGGAGTGCATTTAGCATCCAACATATGCAACTGACTGAATTTGAATTAGTTATCTTTTGTGTTTATGTTCTTATGTATGCGTGTGTATATGTTAATTTACTTTATAGTGAGTGAATAAACTGAATAAATGTGAGAGCTCTTCCTGTCATCCTCCTCCCAAAGCACTGCAGCAGCTTCTACTCTGAAAGATGAACAGATCGATCATTCATTTTTCCTCACTCTCCCACATTTTTCCTTTCAGGATGGATTGTGTCCTTTAAACTCTGACCTTCACGGACATATTAGACTGAAAAAGGCTCGTATCCATGGCAACGGAGCTATCAATCCGATGGGACCTTGACATCAGGGATAGGCAATCTGAACGATGACAGACGTTATCAATCAAACCCTCACCATCAAACATCAGCATCAATCATCGACTAAACAGTTGCTGTCAAGCGGACAAACACTAACTCTGCTCCAAAACCTAGTGAGCTTCCTCCCTAGACACTTTCAAAAGCATGTAAAAGACAAAAAAGCTGCTCCAAATATAAGAAGAAACATTATGCTGCCTTTTAACATCATGTCTGGCCATATTCTAAGGAATAAAAGCAATGCAAAAAAGTACTGTAAGTGAAAGAGATGCCATACGATATCTAAAAATTAAGTGGAGAGAAATGCGGATTATACACATGAATTAATACAGATTTATAAATATTAAAGCAACTAAAATATAAATTATATTAATATATATTTAATATAAGATAAAAACATAAATTATATAAACATTAATATTAATTTTACATATAGATCAAATATTAATTTGAC